TCTTTATGGCAGTCCTTCAGATATTTGAAGATCACTATCGTGTCCCCTCTTAAGCAACCTTTCCATAAGCTGAATGTGCCTATTTCCTTCAACCTTCCCTTGTATACCTTGCTTTCCAAACCCTAAATCATTTTGTTTCCCACTTCTGGAGCCTCTCTACCTTCTCCCTGTCCTTATTAATATGTAGATACAAAATAGTACACAGTATTGCAGAAGAAGCCTAACCAGTACTGAATAAAGAGGCACTATCACCTCCTTTCTCTTGCACCTAATGCTCCTTTTGATAGAGCCAAAAACTGCATTTGCCTTTTGTGTCACTGCATCACACTTCAGACTCATATTGCGTCTGTGGTCCATCAAAACTCTCAAATCCTCCTCTGCAGTGCTGCCATCCATCCAGTTGTCATCCATTTTGTATATGTTTGATTATTCTTTCCAATGTGTAGCACTTTGCACTTGTCAGCATTGAACTTCATCCTGTTAGCTCCAGCCGAGGTTTCCAATCTTTTAAGATCTTTCTGAATTCCATTCATTTCCTCCAGCGTGTTTGCAATCCTTCCTAGTTTTTTCATCTGCAAATCTGCTCAAAAAGCTCTCTATTCCAGCGTCCAAATAATTAATAAATGTCCTGAACAGCACTGGGCGCAGGACAGACCCTTGTCTGACTCCACTCAAAACCTCCTGCCATTTCAAAGTGGCTCCAATTATAATTCCCCTTCCCTTCAGCCAGTTGTTTATCCACCTTATAGTAGATACTGATATAGTAGATACTTACAGTGGTATGATATCTCCCCCTTCCCAACCCCCTTTATTTTGTACCTTTCCGGAGTTTCATCTCTGAAAGTGCTATACTAGTTGAGCTAAAGGAGCAACTCTTCTATCTAGCAGCTATAATCAAAGGATTGGTAGGTATCTCAAGGGTCATCTAATCTAATCCCCTGCACGAATGCAGGATGTATACTTCCTAAACTATCCCAAGAAAATCCTTATCTAGCCTCTTCAAAACATCCAGTAAAGGATATTCTACACTTTTCTTGGGCAACTTTTTCCATTGTCCTACTGTTCTGACAGTAAGGAAGTTTTCTGTAACAGAGGAGATTGAGATTAGATCTTTAAATCTCAGTTGTTCTCCTATTTTCTGGCATCTTTTCAAACATTTGAAAACTACTATAAGGGCACCCTTAATTTCTTTATTCCAAATTAAACATACCTAAACTAAGCATACCTAGTTCTTTGACCCTTTCCATCTTTCCAGCTTCCCACTTTATCTTTGTCACTCACCTCTGGAGCCTCTCTAGTTCTCCATCTGAAGAGAAATATGGAGGCCAGAACTGCACAGTGCTCCGGATAAGGTCTTGCTAGCACTGAGTAGACTGGTAGTATCGATTTTTGCGTCTAGACATGCATTTTACTGCAGAGTTGACTAATTAGCTCCACAGTAAAGTGTCTCTATCTACATGTGCACCAGTATTAGTGCTCAGTAAATTAACTCTGCCATAGGATAGTACTGTCCCCCAACAGTACTGTCCTACAGTGGAGTAATTATGCGTGCTGAAGTGCATGTGTATATGGTGACAGGGGCTGCCTGAGGCTTGAGGCTAAATTGAGGCAACTCCAGGCGTCCCTGCCAGCCCTGGGGCTGCTCTACCCTGGCTCAAACTGCTATGGTCCTGAACCTGGGTGGACCCCTGTGGAACCCATCTTGAACTCCCTGACATTCTGACATTGATCCATTTATAATTATTCTCTGTGTGGTTGTTCAGCCAACACAGTAGATTTTTATCTTATGGGTAAACCGCAAGAGTTGAACAAAGTCTCTCAAACGGAACTGGAGTGAGTTACATATGCACCTATTAACTTATTAGTGGTACTATAGACACCATAACACAGTACTGTCACAAAATTTTGTGAATCAGAAAGAAGAATTTTTACCTACAGATTAAAAATCAGCTCTATTGATCTAATAGTTAATGATAAAGCTTTGAGGTTTTTTATTCTTTTATTCTTAGGTTAAGCATTTATTTGCTTCCAGTGCTGCCAACACTGACTGCATCAGGTTCAAGAGGGGACACTGACTATATCAGTGGAGGCCCTGAATTCATGTTACCTCAAATAACATTCCTAATACTATCAATCTCATTGCCAGCTAAGTTGCAATAACTGCTGAGGCTGCATTACCAACATGCTTAAAGAGGAAACTTCCAGAGAAACTGGCAGACTGAGGTACAGAGGAGATGTTTGTTCCCAAGCCACTGAACATATTTAAAATTCTTGCTTGTAGCAAAGGCGAGTTGGATATTAATGGCCCCTGTGCCCGCCGGGCTTTATCAATCCATGTGGACGTGGCTCCAATGTTCCAGCCGGGCGTCTGGGCCCTTAGAAGCATCGAGGTAGTTCTTTCTCCCGTGTCGACAATCCTGCTCTCGCCTGCCATGTCTTGATGTTCCGCAATGGGCGGGTTGCCTGGCGGGTCCCTCAATGCCCGGGTCCGACCCGGAGGTTGTACACAGGGCTCCACCACCCCTGCACCCCGGCCTCAAGCCACCTCTATCAAGCCGACTCAACAGTGTCTTGTGTCCTGCCAAGCTGATCCAGCTTCCCCACTTGCTCTCTGACACCTCGTAGGGTCTGGTCATGCCCCCTGCTGGCAAGGCTCGCTACTAACCCCGTTCCCTGGAAGGGTACCTCTGGACCCGGTTCTCTGGTCCTTCTGTGCTTAGTACCCTGGGTGCTTTCCCCAACCTTCCGTGGCATGGGGATGATCACCTATAGCCCCAACACCCGTGCTACTCCGCCTAGTCCCCTAAGCCCAAACCTGTCCATGCCTCCGGGATTTGGGTGGCGACCCCGCCCCGATCACGACCCTTCGTCTGGGTCCTCCTGGGCTCCTGCCACCCCTCGTGCCATCCTCCACTCCCCACCAGACCAGTACTCCACCTGGATCCTGCAAGATTCTCGTAGCAGTCCCCGCTCTCTGGTATCCAGGTCGGCACTTGCTCCCTCGACGTCCGCCGCCAGATACTGCCACAATATTTCTCTCTCTGGAGCTCCTCGCTCCAGCTCCTTAGTCCCCTCGGGATGCTTCCCTGGGACCTGCTCCTCCCGCGGCGCCTGTAGCAGCTCCTCTCCAGGGCCATGCGCCCCGTCTGCTGCAGCCATTTTTATCTTCGCTGGCTGGCGTCTGGTGCTGACGTCACTGGCTGACCATAGCTGCACATATAGCTGGCTCACGAGCCACGCGGATTTCCTGGGAGTGTTGTTCCAGGCTGCGGGTGAGTAATCAACGTCACCCCATTCCGTGGGACAGCCCTATTTCCAGTGGGCTTCCTTTAACCATGCTTTTAAGAATGATGGGCACAGCAATTTTGCATATGCAAACCCCTGATTTCCACAAAGCAGAATGTAAATCCTGCCCCTCCCCCTGTTCTCTGGTACTGGAAGCCCTTGCTGCAGGAGACACATCAGCTTTTATATGCAGGGAATAGTGGGATGAAGCCTGTGCTATGTAGGTACACCCAAAGAGATATCACCCAAATCCTACTCCCCCTTTTTGACGGCCTCCTACCAATTGTGAAGTTGTAAGGAGTGCATGTGGTCTCTCTGCCAGATATTTGGATGGACTTATATATATAGACACCCAACAGGATCAGAGGTGGGGGTGTCCCTTGTAGACACCTTCCATCTTATGTTCCAAGCACCCTGGCCCTTTGAACTTGAGGCTACTGTTACTTTCTTTGTATATTATAAAAGAGTCACTCACATAATAATGGACACAATTGAGGAGACAGATTTTAAAATGTCCTTATCCTTATGCTCTTCTGGTTCATCATGTATGGTATAGGAGATGTTGAATTTAACATTTTAGCTAAGTACAGACAGTCAAAAAGCCTGGGACTGAATCAATTCAATCTTTGCAGGTTAGTCTAAGCCATGGGTGGGCAATTATTTTGGGCGGAGGGCTCCTTACTGAGTTTTGGCAAGCCATTGAGGGCCTCATGACAGGCAGCCAGGGGAAGATAAATATTAATTTTCTAAAATTTTTAGGGGCCCCATGGGCAGGATAAAATGGTTTGGCAGGCTGCATCCAGCCCGTGGGCCACATTTTGCCCACCCCTGGACTCTAAACTGTGTAGATTGAACCAATAAGCAAGTGAACAGACAATCACTTTTGATTTCAGAAATGCAGCCACATGCCTGCAGTGGCCTAGGCCAGAAGCTTGAGAGCACTGGAGCACACCTGCCTGCTTGGCTGGAACAGACAGCTTGGGCCAAGGCTACGCCACCTACTTTGTGAGGTGGGGTTTATGAGGAAGTACAAATCATCCTGGGATGCTGGGGGACTGTGAGTTACCTTGAATCTGGAGGGGATCTGGGACAGAAGTTCAATAAACCAATTTAACCTAAATCAGTTAAGTCTGATAAGGTTGATTTAAACTAGTTTCGGCCATTTTGAAAGCAGCTTATGTGCACTGAACTTCTGTTGTGTTACAGATTTGAACTGGTTTCCAATCACTTATACCAATTTATGTGTAATTTCTGTCCCTAGCCTTTGTCTGATGGCAGTTGCACTGTGACCATTACTTAATTAGACAAAGTAGCTCATTAAACAGATTATTTCATGTTTGCAAAATGCTTTGACGACATGAAGTACTGTAAGCATTGTTACCGTGGTGCTGCATGACATGGCTTGAGCAGCTTGTTTTAGTTTTAATATGAGGAAAGAGAAGGAAAATATTTTGCAAAATGGGCCATAAAAAGTGGTGCAGCGATTGGCTGTACTCCATTAGTATAAAGAGCTGTCTCTCTGAATAATCCTGTAGTTTCAGTACTTACAATATTTTACCACCAGCAGTTCACTCAGCAGCTGAATGGAACACTGCAAAGTTTGTAAACCATTTGTAAGACAACACTAAGTGACCGGTCAGCTGGAAACAGCTTTTTGACTGACCGCTGTGTCCTACCAAAGTGTCTTAAGCTGTACTGCTGCTCTTCAGGCTTGGTTCTGGATTTCATGCTTGTACCAAATGATTACAGAGAAGTGAAAAAATTTCAGAAATTAGAAGTGTGATGGATAAGAGCTGCATTTTGTTTGAATAACTGCATTAGCCTGAGCACAGGCAGGAGGTCCATTCACAGCCTGATTAGGTTGTTACTTACGAAAGCTCATACCCCTCTGAACCTGTCATGGCAAGGTTATATCTGCCTGTATTACAGTGGAAATTCAGAGAGTTTTTGGTGGCAAAATAATGAATAATTGTGACATTAGTAAATACGGGCACATTGGAAAGAAAATGCCTATGCCTGATGGAGTTAAGAGGAACAAAGATTTAGAACATTCAGCAAATAACCTGTGGCACAAGATAAACCATTGCATTGGGAGTAGAGACCTGGCCAGGATTTGTAGCCCTGCAGTTCACGTACTCTGTTTTATTTTGGATAATATGCATCCACCTCTGAAACTGGATTCTCATCTGCAAAATGGAGAAAATAATATTTATTTTCATTTGCTGAAGCAAAAAGCACTCTAAATTAGTTAAAAAGCCTCACAAATCGAGAGCATTTCAGCTGGGATGTAGCTTTTTCAGCCAGCTCTTTGGAAACTGCAAACAGTTACAGTGGAAGAATAGTAGCTGCTGACGTAAGATCTTCAAAATCAATGTGCTGGTGTGGTTTTTTTAAAGAAGCAGCTGAGGGACTGTGTGACAACCAAACGGATGGTAGAGCTAAGTGCTGTTTGTTATTTTATTTTAATACTCTTTGTTTATAGCACCTGTTTTTCTTGTGTTTTTTAACCTTTTAAAACTGGCCCTCTAAATACAGGACTTCCCCTCTCAGTACAATTACTGCTAATCCAATACAGCTCTTATAAATCCTGCCTCTAATCTCTGTAATAACCTGTCCCTGCTGTTGCAACAGTATGTTCTCATTTATATTCAGTGGCTAACAGCTACTTCGCTCTGCTCTACATCCGATTGAAAAGACAGACTCCTGCCTGGGACCCTTTCTGCATCCTCACAGCCAGGGATTCTTTCCCAGTCTGACTCCAGTGACCTTGCAGTTGTCATTTGCTGGTGCCAAGTGTCTGTTTTTTGTGCGACTCATCCAAACAAACAAGTGGGGTGAGACTTCTGGTTCTCCCTTTTGTGTCTGACCTGAACAAGCTGGGAGCTGGATCAAACATCCCTGGGGAAGCACAAGTTGGTGGTGCAAAGAACAGTGAGAGGATTGGCTGGCACTGTCATGTGGCTGATGCTAGGCAACATGTGCTATTGGCTTTCTGGGTTGCAGACAGATCTGAAGGAGCATCAGTTTGTGTGTGAGTGTGCGTATGTGTGCGTGAATGAGACTGTGCTTTCTCCACAGCAGTCTGGGGGAGCTTTAGCACTTCCACTGAGGTAAGCAATAATGAGGGCTCTTTATTCTAATCAATTAGCTGCCAGGCACGGATGTAGCAGGATTTATTGGACCATAAGCTTAGAATAAAATTTAAAAAGGCTCTACTACTGAAATGTGTTATTTCTCTTGATTTTTTTCTAAATATGATTTAAGCTGACCACATAAATTAGCAGTTTTCTTTGCTAATGAAAAGTCACTATATTTTATTTTCAATGCGGTCTTGCATCTTGAGTATTAAACATGCAGTTTCAAAGTCAGACATTCATTTAAAATAGTACATATATTAATTCCTTTCTTTATGAATGGGTGGAGGGGGCTTGTGAGGAAAGTGACATTACTATTTATCATTGCATGAAAAGGGCATTATCTCACTTTATAAAGCGGGGTTTTTTTAAAAAAATGAAGACTGTAAAATGCTTGTCAAGAGCAGGCAATGCAATGGGTGCTGAGATGCATGTTGATAATATTAAGCCAAAGACATATGGCCAGTATGCAGTATCTGGATGCATTTGGAATATGTGGCATGTATGTTATTTTTAAGTCATGTATGTAATATTTTAAATAAACCAGTGCATGAAAGACAACAGCCTTTTTAAGCAGGTCTTGAAGCCAGTTAGGGAAACCCAGTGTAGTCCCGTAATAGGTAATACGGTATCTCT